AGAGAGAGAGAGAGAGAGAGAGAGAGAGCGAGAGCGGGGAAGGGGCAGAGAGAGAGAGAGAGAGGAAGACAGAGTCCCCTCCACGTTGTCAGCACAGAGTCCGACGCGGGGCTCGAACTCATGAACCTCTAGATCACAACCTGAGCTGAAGTCGGACGCTTAACCGACTGAGCCACCCAGGCGGCCCTGGGGATTTTACTAGACTCTTAGAGGCCGCAATGACAGCCCTAGCCTCAGTTCTCATCCGATATATACCACAACCTGCCTCTCCCTCAAACTTCAAGGCTTCCCTTCTCTAGGAAGCTTTCCCCCATAGACCTCACCCGTTTTTCCAACCAGCCAGCAGAGTCACTGATTCCCCCTCCTGTCTCTCCTCCTCCAACTCATTCTTGAAATGACTGGAGGGCGAAACCCTGCTAGCTAGCGGGCGGCGGATGTGCACATCCCGGTGGGGGGTGGGGTGGGGTAGATGCAGAAGCTGGAGTCCAGCAGATCTTTCCAGACTGTACTTTTGGCCGGGACGCACAGATCCGTCACCCCTTGGTGATACATCACTTACTCCTTCATGTGTGTCCCAAAGGACCCCGTTCCCAGCCATAGAGGCAAATAGATACATATCCACTGGCTGACCGACTCTGCAGCCTGACTCTGAATCCAGCTGCTTCTACGCAGCAGCTGCCCGATTCCTCGGCTAACTCAGAGAACGTCACCGAGCATTAACCTTCCAGAAGGATTTCAGCCTTCAGGTCTATTTAGTGTATCCTGGTAGAGGAAAATATCTTGGGCATCAGAAACTAAGGGAAAAAATGTATCCGTAGCAAACAGGTCCCTTTAGTGGTTCTCAACCTGGCGGGGCAAAATATTCGAAACGAAATCATACAGGCGGCAGCTGACTCAAAAATCTTAGAGGTGACCAAACCCTTGAATGCATGCATTTTTTCTTCATGAAACAGGGGGTATGGAGGACAAACTGCTGTAATCATCTGCTTTCAAAAAAATCCTTCTGCTAGTTCATCCATAACCGACCTTCCAAAAGTACAAAACACGTACTTTTCCGAATCACATACTCCTCCTCCGATGGCTTTCTTTCCGTCTTTCTTTTATGAAGAAACTTCTTCATCGTTTTGGGGCTTTTACTAGACTCCTGTAAGGACAGAGGTTTGTTTAGGAATTAAAATTCTCCCCCCAGGACAAATTAAAAAGAGCAAATGAAATGAAACCGAATGGCTCTCTCTTATTTTGACAGTCCCAAAAGGGCATCAAAGTTTAATAATGTACACAATAAAAAATGGCTCCAAGAAACTCTAAAAGCTTCCATAAAACAGAGGCAGTGACACTGGCCTCTCAATCGCCATAGGGACGGGTGCCGTGCGCAGAAAAAATAGTGGGTGTAGATCCTAGGGAAACAACCGCATTCCTAACTTGGTTTATAGTCCTCGCTGATACAGTTTCCAGGGAATCAAGTAACAGTTGTAAATACTAATATGGTACATGCTGCTTTTCAAGGAGCTTCAAAGCTCTTTAAATACCTTTTCCTTAGCGACAGTCCCACAAAGAAGAATATTAATTTCCATTTGTCAGATGGGAAAATTAAGGGACCAAATAATTTCCCTGAACTCAGAGAGAAGAGCCAAATGAGGGATGTCCTGATAAATAATTTGGCGTCAGGAGCGATGGGTGTACATACAGAAAGCCGTATTTTTAATTAGCAGATAAAAGAGCCATGGATTACTGAATTTGCTTTTGCCGGATAAGTAACCGGTGCTCATGATCAGGTATCCAAATAAAGAGATGAGAATCTCAGACCCTAGTGACCGTCTTATCCCAATGTTCCATGCAAGGTATATACGTGATGTGTGGGTCATAATTAGTACCTTAAAATATATGGGACAAAAGAATTTAATTTCTTCCGCTTAGACTTGAAAACGGACATGGAAAACTCACATGTGACAAAAAGGATCGGAAAAAGAGCGTTTACCAAAAAGACACAAGGGAAACAGGCATTTTCAAGGCGTCTAAGACAACATTTTCATGTGGATTTCACAAGAGGCTGCTTTCTGAAGAAAGTACTTACATGTCAGAACTGCATCTTCGTACTTTAGCCACCAATGAGAACAAGGGACAAAACAAGCATAAAGGAAAAGCTTCATTCATCAGAGGTGACAGCACAGCATTATGAGGCCACTGTAAGCCAAAGATATTGTTCTACCCTTACCTTTAAGATATAAGACATCCTCTAAAGTGAATATGTAAAGAAAGAGAAAATGAGCGTGAGAGGTCGATGGTTATAATGATCAAATCCATTTATCAGTAATTCTAAAACAACAGTCAAATGTTAGTGTCATCATCAATTACACAGAACATCATCATGTTTCCCGCATTAGTCTCAGATGCAATATTGTCATGCGAAAGCCCAAGGAATACAGTTCTGTGCAGAATAACAAATACTGAAAATAACTGAAATACACACTATACGGTATTAAGTTAACTGGACCCTTCAAGGCTCACCTGAATTCGAACTTAGGAACTGACAATTACAAAATAGCGATCGTTAAAAAGGGGACCCAGATAACTACGATTTTCCCGGGTCGATTTCCACAGCAAACCTGTGGGACTGTTTCCTGGCCCAATTCTGAACAGAGGTACATAATAAGGATTCAGCTCAAGCATTATTTCTCCTGTCATGCCCAGTTGAAACAATCAAAAATTCCTCCGGTGTCAATACCGCTCTATTTTTACCGCACTCGGAGGCAACAATTAATCGAGACAGTAGCACAGCGTTTGAAATCAAAACAAACTTGAGATTGAGCTAAATCTGTGTCGCGCATCAAAACACACAGTCGATATGGCAATATATGCTGTCTTTGCTCCCTAATTCTAAGATGCGTCTCATAACCGCCACGATCTTAAACCTTCACTCAGGAAGACCTAGTTAAAGAACAGTTACTTATAAATGAGGCTCTTTACTGAAAGCTGAAATGATGATTAACATCTTAGGGAAACAAAACAAAACAAAACAAAACAAAACAAAACACCGTTTGGATGGAAAAACTAACACTCCACACAGTTACAGAAGCCAGTGACTGACATTTCCCGACTGCGACTTTGAGGAAAAAAATAGAAAGAACCTGGAAGTCCCCACACTACCCAAATATCCAATGTTGCTTAGAAGCCTCACTTGAAAAGACATTCTTTTCATTAAATTCTTTTCCCTTTCCAACTGCAGCAGAAGGTCCAGACTCTCATAGTTCAGACTTATGGCTTGGTCCCATAAGACTTTCCTGATTTGGCTTTAATAGATCAAAATGATCCAAAATGCAGAACTGGGTCTGCTTGGTCGCAAACTGAACTCCAAGGAAGTGGCTTCTGTTTAAGATGTGTGGACATTATATACAATTATCAGGAAGGGACCGGGGAACCCAGGCAGTGCACGTAAACCCTTCTGGATAAATATTTGCACAGGGACAATGGGGAAATGGAAAATTAAGAAATAAAAACATCCCCGAGTCTAATGATTCACGACTGACTGACATGTATCACCTAGCATAAATTCTAGCACATCCCCACAGAACTCTTCGGAATAAGCTGTGACATTAGCTTGACAGACACATTTTATACCATATGTAGCAAAATTACCTCTTTATAACCTAGTGCTGCTGATGGTCTAAGTGGAGGTGCGGGTCGTAGACAACTTAAACTCCACGGTTTTATAATTTGAGGAGGCTCCAAGGGTCCTCGGGGCTGTCCGGTAGAGCTAAAAGACTGGGAAAATGTCTGATGAGATGCTGGCGATCTGCCACCTGAACCCGACCTTGTGCCACACGGCAAGAGAACAATAGTTTCATTGGATCAGCAAAGCCAACCACAGGAAAGGAAAGGTGGGAAAACAAAAGTCCAGATGATGGGGTCTCTAAGGAACGGCACAAAATCGACTCAACATCCTACGGGCCTGTCTTCCCTCTCTCTTCCGGAATTTGATTCACTAAAGTCAGGGGTGGCTTTCCTTCATAAGAGAGGAGAGTGGACTCAGCACTGGATGGTTTCAGTCGGGCGCTTGGCACTCTATCAGGTGCTGAAATAGGTTATCTCAGCAGAACTGCCTACGACAAACCTTAGCGAAGTGAAATAACTAACTAGCTGGCAATTGACAAAAGCCAAGATTTGACCTCAGATCTGATGCCGGAGCCCTTGTTCTTCCCACCACATCGCACAGCGCCTGAGACTGGAATTTTGGCATCACCAGTTGGAGTGTTAACAGCACTGCAATCTTCGCTCTCACTCAACAAGTACAGTAAAATCTCATCAATTCCAAGTCCAGGAATTCCAAATTCGTGATGACTTGGAAGAAGGCAGCGGCTGCAAGTTTACCCTTGAAGGTTGCCCGGTGAATGTGGTAGCCTAAATGAGATTACGTGGAGATGGTGAAGTACTTGGGCAGGTAAACTATCTGTTTTTTGGCGCAGCACACAATGAATAGGAGAATAACGGCTGCTAATTAACCCGTTGGGATGAGCACTGGGTGCTGTATGGAAACCGATTTGACAATAAACTGTATGTAATAAAAAAAAGTGAAAAAAAATAAATCTCGTTTACCGCTAAAACATCTCAGTGGGACTTCTGATTAGACAAAACTTTGCGGGCAGTTGGCGGGGGCTCCCCAATGCCGTCCGACAAAGCCGCACACCTCTACGTAAAACCTTTCATTAATTTGGATGGACCTCCCTCCACAAGTAATCAGAATTAGTGAGGTTTAACTGTACTTCAAGACCTACGAATATAGACAACCCAAAGACTAAGGGCATGCTCACTGCTTCTTGTAAGTCCTCTGCAGGCAGGTGTGACAAGAGACTCAGTAGTCCCCGGACCGCACAAGTGGACAACTTACGGAATGAGCACCAGAAGAGGACGACGATGTTTTGGATAATGAGCTGCAAGAGGCAGGTCCCCTGATCAGTCTGCACAGCTGCTCCAGCCATTCCTGGAAGTCCTGGCTGTTGTTGCAATGGACCACAGTCCTCTCTACTAGGTTACCTGCATTGCCCCATTGGGAGCATTTGGAGACAAAAGACACGGAGGGCCTTGAGTTCACCTCATTCATAAACACATGTCGAGCAACTAAGGCTGGGGTGTCTGTTTCCATGAGTGTCCACACCGATGAGATAACCCCTGTTGAAACCCCTGCTGAAGCAAGGCCAACATCCGATCTCGGGCTCCCTACTGGGGAACGAAGTGGGTAAGGCCCGGGGCCACCATCCCAGCGTGAGCTGCTGCCCCCTCTCGGTGCAGAGTGCAACCGTCACATGGAAATCACACGGGCCTGGCAAAAGGGACCGTAGGCCAAAAGGTCAGGCCTTACCAGGCCTGCTCAATTTGTGCCTCTACATCAGTCCATTCTGTTAGTTCTAACAAGTAGCTCCGACGCAAGAGAAGATTGAAACCAATGGCCACGCTGAGGCTTTTGAGTGGCCAGGAGACTTGGTTCTGTCGCCGGACCCTAATTATCCCAGAAAATGGAAGCCACCTTGCTGTGGTCAGGTAAAACTTGCTCACGGACTTAGAGCAGAAAATAATAGCTTTTACTTACTCGAATCCCACTTCATTCCAAAAAGGATTTCAAGTAGCTACTTGAAAAAGACAAGAGTGCCTACCTGTGATTTCAAATGTGTAGTCATTTCCTTCGATTTCATCTAATCTGGTCACCACGATTCCCGCGACTGGTATTTTTCCCTATCAGAAAAAGAACATTCCCATCAGTTCTGTGGTTAGATGTGCCCCGGCTTATGTCTATTAGATTTTCTGACCCTCTCGGAAATCACTGCTGATTCAGGGCTTGACATATTTCTCTGGCCTGCATGCTTCCCTGCTTTCAAATGTGATCAGACAAGAAAGCAAGGGGGCAATGTGGCTTGTGTTTTGCTAACACATCCTAAACCATACGGTCAGGATTTACAAACAGGCTTACTTGTTTTCTAACACATTTTCCGGAGAATCAGTCAACAGAGTAAAGATTCAAAAAAAATTTTTTTTTCCAGTTTCATGAACATTAGTCATTGCTAGGCCAGCTATAATAGGCAACAGTAACTTATAGCACTCCATATTTGGGGAGCGGACTGAAGGAAGTTTAATTTCCCAATGAGTGGAAGGACTTCTATCGGAACATTCGTAACCTAGCTCACAGCCAGCACGATGGACGTTCAAGATAAACTCATTACAGCAATACAAAGGTTTTCCATCTAAGGAACATCTGCTCTTATAAGCTGTATAATTACAACAAAGGGTCAGAACATTCTGCATTTTCTGGCTGGAGCTTTTTAGTGCCATAGAACAGATATTGCAACGGGATGCAAACCTGTTTTCATTCTGGGTCCTGCTGTTGGTTTTATATGAAATCTACTGACCTGATAGATAAAGCCACTCATCCGAGGACTTGCGGATAACATTATCAAGACACTTGAAAACAACATGAGGTACCGCTCCTCTTTTTCCTAAAGTGAAATGGAAAATATTAAGTGGAGGACAGAGAGTGGCCATTTTGTTCGTTAAGAATTTCCGGAGTCACGAAGGCAACGAAACATGAACAGTGACCTTTTAAAAAAGATACCCAACTTAAAAGCACAAGACGTTGAATTCGACATCGAAGTGAATATAAGTGAATATAAAGCCACAGTTTATCCCTCTTTTTCCTATACGTAACGGTTAAATACAAATAACGTGCCTGTTTCCCACGTATGTATGCCTGAGCAGTCACACAGTTAATGCCTTGGCACCAAGGGAGATTTTACACGTGAGGGCTTCTCTGAACGCTACAAACGGATGCACATGTAGTAGATGCGAAAAAAATTACATCCAGGGGTGCCTGGGTGGCTCAGGTCACGATCTCACGGTTCGTGAGTTCGAGCCCCGCGTCGGACTCTGTGCTGACAGCTCAGAGCCTGGAGCCTCCTTCGGATTCTGTGTCTCCCCGTGTCTGTCTCCCTGTCTCTGTCTGTCTCTCTCTCTTTCAAAAATAAATAAACATTAAAAAAAATTTTTTTTAATTACATTCGGCTTACATGTCCAGCCATGTTAGCTCCAATTATCTCCATGCCCTTCTACAGACACTTAATCTCTTCTTCCTCCTTCCAGCAGCGTCGCCTGCTTAATGAGCTTTTCCTCTTTTGCCTTTAACATACGCACATCTCCTGTCCTAAAAGGCCTTCCCGGGCCCCTGTGGCACCTTCGATATAATACAGGCCTGCCTTGTTTTCTTGCGGTTCACTTCATTGCGCGTCACAGGTAGTCGTGTTCTTTAACAGACTGAAGGCCTGTGGCATCCCTGCGTGGAGCAGGTGTGCAAGTGCCATGCTTCCGGCAGCATTTGCTCACTTCATGTCTGTCGCGTTAGGGTAATTGTTGCCATATTTCAAGCTTTTTCATTATTACTGTATTTGTTATGGGGATCTGCGATCAGTGATTATGACCCACGGAAAGCTCAGACGATGCTTAGCATTTTGTAGCAATAAAGGATTTTTGATTAAGGTAGGCCCGTTTGGTAGACTACATGGCACTGCACACTTAATAAACCACTGCGTAGCGTAGAGATAACTTTTATACACACCGAGAGACCGCTCTGGAACCAAACCCCCAGGATCTCCCAAGGTACGTCAGTACCCTGTTTCTCGGTATTTTATGGCCAAATGACTTGCTGCCTTCATTTTTCTCCTCATTGATTCCTCCCTAACTGCAGCCCCACCGCTGTCTCCGAGCCATCAATAACTGCCTTCTAGCAAAATCCGATGGCTTCTTCTTGGTCTCCATACTGCTTGACCTTTGAACCTTCTGCAGCACCCACCAACCTTCCCCAGGGTATCTGCGTCTTAAATGAGATTGCTTATTAACCCAAAGTAATGAATCTCTGACAGAGACCTGCCAGGGAGTATAGGAAGATGTCTGGGGACGGGGAAGGCAATTCTAACAGCCGATAAATCAGGCCAGGTGACATAACCAACCTTCCCCCCCTCGCTGGACTGCCCCCTCCTAATTGGGGCTCAGATTTGGCCCTGAAGTTTCATTTTCTGCCCCCACCAGCTTCGTGGGGAAGCGGGGGGGTACTGCTCACTTGCCAACCCAGCTGGTCCTTCTGTTTATGATACTATACTCGAGCCTCTAACAGTTCCTTGTTGCCTGCTGGGTGGATCTGAACGACTCTTGCCTGACGCCCAGCGTTCTCATAACCTGACTCTGTCTCACTCCACGGCTTTCCCTCTCCCAACACACTTCCTCTGCTCCCGAGAGACCAGCTTCCTCGCCTTCCTGCAGCAAAAGGCCACGCTGCTGTTCTCTCCTGAGATAAGAATGACCTCTACCTTACGACATGCTCGCCTTTTCCCTTCGTGGCCCTCCTCCTCGAGTCCCCTCTCCACAGCCTCCTTGCTCTCTCCCTTCTCTGAGCTTCTGTGCAACCCACTGTTGAGGCGCACCATCTACACTGACTGGCTGGGTTCATTTTCTGGCCGCAGCCTGTGTTTTCATCTGTTTTTAAGGCACGGCTCATCGCGTGGTCTCTCCTCCTCTCTCCCACAGCACCTAGCAGAGTGTGGGGCAAAGAAGAGGCACTCGGTTTCCTGGCACGTTCGAGCAACCTGGCCTGGACGGACGAACGAATCAAAGAAGAACAAGAAGAAAGATGGCAGCAATGGCGTTGAGCTGTGAAACCTCTTACCTCACATGTTCCATACTGCACCATTACTTGTGACATAAACAGAACATTCCCCAAGGTTTTAATACTCTCTCCTTCCCACGCCTGAATAGGTTCAGAAAGTATCTGCAACTCCAGCTGTTTTCTCTTCCTTAGATCTTGGCACTGCCCCTATGGAACCAAAGCAGAACATACTGGAAGAGGAATTCTTGCGAAACAGACCCAAAACAAGAGCAGAGTTAGAGGAAGCTTTGGCCTCTCAGATTTCCACAGCGTCCCGATTCCTCACCACGAATCCCATCACCAGATCCGTTCCTCACGGACAGAGAGACCCACGGCCCTGAAGCTCTAGCCTGGGGCCCCCAGAGGTTTTGCGAGGAAGAGCCACCTTTCGCTGTGCCAAAACGGCAAGACAAAATGGCAGAACGGGCTTGCTTCTCCATCACCGCAGGTGTATGAGGAGACGAGTGGCTGGCTGGGGTCCCTGCTCTAGCTCGCTTCCAGCTCGTCACCAAGCCGTTTTATTTTCCTAACACATGCTCAGTCTCCAACCAAGCGACAGCTCAGTAAAGCAAACAAACACAAAATGACTCCAGGGGCTCTAGAAAATGGGAAAACTAAATTTCTCCTGCCGCAGTGAATCAAATAGACCTTACAGCGAAACAGAGGCACTGCCCTATACTTTGTTTAGGGACTAGGAGTAGGTTGGTATGGAGAAAAAAATACTACATTAATTCTGTTCCTAAAAGAATTGCAAGAAAGAGATACAACTGAATTTTATGAGTACAAAGTGGAAATACAAACCAGGAAACAAAATGTGGGGTATGAATACTCTATCTATCTATCTATCTATCTACATATAGATAGATATAGATCACTGTTTCAGAAAGTGTGAAGTCATCTTAGAATAATTTTTAACAGTATTTACACATTTGTTAAAAAATGTAACAGCATTTACTCCAAATTGAATATGAAAATAAGCATATGGTTAGTTATGTTACTGTTTCCAAATAAATGTCACAGTTCCTTGGGGGCCGTGTTTTCTATAAAATCTCTGCTGCCCCTTTCGGCTAAATGGAAACTTGAAGAAATCAGTTCACTGGACACATGTTTCTGAAGCATCTAAAGTGGGAATAAATATACTAGAACCATCAAAGCAAGCTTCACAACATGTACTATGGTCAGAAAGAAATATTGTTTTCAAAAGGAATTTTATATTCAATTTACGTAGGATAAAATAAAAGGGACCCAAATAGTAATAAATGCCATGTAAAACTGCCAAGATTAAACTGTTTGTGACCTATGACAACAAAAGGTATTTAATGTAACACCTTACTCTGGACTTCCAACTTGCTGTTTACCTGTGGACGCATCAGGTACTGATCTTTCAACAGCAATAAAAATGAGGTGATGGCGAATGTTGCATCACAACCTTATAGCAAGAACCGACAACTAACCATGGGTCCCAATCCCTTGGAATGCTACATTAATGTCTAGAATGGGGGCACCTGGGTGGCTCACTAGGGTAAGCGTCTGCCTCTTGGTTTCAGCTCAGGTCATGATCTCACCGTTCGTGGGTTCGAGCCCACACTGACAGCCTGCTTGAGATTCTCTCTCTCTCTCTCTCTCTCTCTCTCTCTCTCCCTCTCTCTGCACCTCCCCTGCTTGCTTGTTCTCTCTCTCAAAATAAATACATAGACATGAAAAAAAAAAGAAATGTCTAGAATGAAGCTAAACTAAATCAATCACCCAAAGTGATGCTTTGTTTTCTCCTAAAAGGCCACCAAGTGCTTTTACATCAGTGGGTTCAAGAAGACATTAACAATCATGCTCAAGATACAAGATTACAAAACAATTGCATTTTGGTAGGTTTTTTTCCTTTTAGATTTGATGAAGGATTTCTTTTTCATACGCAAAGAGTCAAACTCACACCCTTTGGCATAAATAGATGAATCCAGCATCGATGGCAATCAGTGAGTGACAAGTTGCACAGACACAAGGTGAACGACACGGGGGTAAAGACAAAGAGACAAAAGGAAACCCCCCACCTACACAACAATGCTTAATGTGGCAGAGACTTCAAATGTGAGTGCTTTATACCCTCAGCCTGGCAACCTTTCATAGGTAAGCATGATTTTTGGAAGACAAAATTAAATGAAACAATCACTGCGATACTGTCGCTAAAGCTTATTGTTTCCACTCTAAAGACCTTTGCATTGGGAAAGAGACGTTACACACAAATCACTCTTTTCGGAACAACGCATACACAACGGAGAATTATAATTTGAGAGCATCACCTACCATGAGAGTTTTGAATGCTACGATTGCTTTCAGAATATCCTGATGGTCTGGATGCGTATCCTAGTAAAGGAATACATTGTAAAACAATGTTAAAGGAGAACAGATCAGCGGTCGCCAGGGGTTAGGGGTGGGAGGAGGGTTGTGGCTGCAAAGAGAGAGGAAATCCGAGGGGATGATGGAACCGTTCTGGATCCCCGTTGTGGCGGTGGTAACACAAATTTAAAGATTACATAATACAACAGCACTTGAGCCTTTGGAATCTCAGCACCTCCGATTATCAGGCGAGCAAGAAACTAAGACAGCCGGTAACACATCACGGGTTTGGCAACAACATACTAGGTGCGGTTATTGAGATAAGAAATAACCATTAGTTGGCGGGGGGCATCGTCAGGCCATGTTGTTAATAAGTGACCAGAGGCAGGGAGTTGCGGAAACAGAGGAGTGGTCGGAGAAAAATCAATCCAATCTCATTTGCTAAAATGCCTCCATTTTCTTTTGGCGGGTTCAACGTGGCAGACGGGGAAAACAATTCCAAGCTTCATACCGTGTGTTCTTTTGCAAGCGAGGTTCTTACGTGTGGTCCACAATTCCACGGTACTTACAACCCCGAAGAGTGGACAGCTTCAAAAACTGCTTGGAGGGATCCACATCTCCGTAACTGTCCACGAAGGGAAAGGGGTGATGCTTGGGGAAGCTGTATACCGAACCTGGGGGGCACATGGGGTGCAGCTGCGTACCCCACCTTGGGGGTATATGTACACCTAACCTTTGGAATTCAGCTGGAATAAATGGAAGGAGAAAATCCGCTGTTCGGCCAGCCTCGGGTCACAAAACGCACCTGAACAGACCAGGGGTCTGCCCCAAGCCAAGAACTGGAAGCAACAGAAAAGGGAGACAGAAGGGAACACGGGTTCCACTTCAAGGAAGGTCAAGAGAGAGGATCCCGGCCGCGGGGGCATCTGGGGAGTCTTCTCCTCAAACGGAGTGCATATTAGTACCTAAGCCCTGAGCAGTAACAGAAACTGATGCCGCTGCTTTCTGGATTTTTGTGATAAGCAAGGAGGGGCAAACCTCAAACGGTTCGGCAAACCGGTTGAGCTTTTGGAAAGGCATCCAGAGGTCAACACCTTCCCGAGCCCTAACTGAAATTTCACTCCGGCAGGCTTCACTCACTCACGGGCTCCCCACTGCCTCCAGCTTTCCGGCAGGTCAAATAACCTGAGAATGTGGTTTTGCTCAGAGTACATGCTTTCAATCCTTACAAATGCTGACGAGACCGGCAGTGTGCAACCTTTTTCTTTAAAGATAATCAAGCCCTTTAAAACCTCAAAACCTTTCCCCAGACACAGGAAGAGCAACCTCCCCCAGAGGGCCCTCCTCTCCCACCCACACCACCTCCGGCGCCCATGCTCGATGGCACAAGGACAATTCTAGAAGCTATCCCTGTTGATTGGTTTTTAAGAAAAGGATTGGGCCTCTCAATGAAATAATATTCAGTTATCAGGCCTCGGTGCAAACCTTAATATTCAGAGAAGATTATAGCTATGCCACGGCTGGGGCAAGCCAACCAGAAGTTTATAAACAAAAATGTGAGGTAACTTTGGTGTAGATCTGTGATGCGTAGACAGATAAACTAACATTGGACCCGTCTATGAATCTTTAAGGAAATACCAGAATCTTCCAGTGTCATCCAGGGTCAGAAAGCTGAGTGATCACAGGGCTGTAGAGATATCGACCCCTGTCTATAGTGAAAGCGGTATTTCTATTTTCTGACGTTTTGCTCTGTTTGTCTCCCACAGTCAGGTTGGTTCATATACCGGAACAACGGAAGATCTTGGTCGATTTTGATTGAACTGCCGTCTACAGATGAAGAAAACCTAAGTCAACCGGTTAGCATGGGCTTGAGAGAAGCGGCTGGACCTTTGGTTATAAGATGAATAAATTCTGGGGATCTAATGTGCAGCGTGCCGGTCACAGTTTATACCACTGTGTCGTATACTTGAAATTTACTGAGAGTCTATCCTAAGTGTTCTCATCCTCTCTGTGAGGTGATGGAGGTGTGAATTCACTTGCTCTGGGAATCATTTTACAATGTATACATATATTAAACCATCATATTGTAACACTTTAAAACTCACAATGTACAACCTAAATATACACAATTTTTATTTGTCAATCAGACCCCAGTAAAAGTGGGAAGATTAAATAAACTAAGTAAAACTTTAAAAAAAATCTCCAGAAGGGGGAAATAAAGGAATGCTCCCCCCCCCCCTTATTTTGCTGCATAATGAGGAAAACTAGAAGCCCAGGGAAGCGGGAAGATTGAATCAGGTAAAATTTGAAACCCAGGCCTTTTCTGAATTCCTCGGCAAGCTTAGTCTGGAAGGAGACTGGCTGCTTCCTCCAGAGCACAGGCCCATGCGTGGCCTTCCCTTACCTCCATATGGCGTTCCAGCTCTTGCAAGAGAGTAACATACTTTTCCAGTCGCATGAACGGTTTGCTGAGGCTGGTTGTTAAAATGAGGATACCTGGGCTGGACGCACCTTGACTTTCCATAAATTGTTCCAGATCATCGCTAGAAAAAGAACGAACATGGCTTTGCTATTGCTTCATGTTCTATGCAAAGAATTATCAACCAAGCATCATTTTCCTATATTTCGTACAATATAAAACCAAATAGAAGTTAGTCGCGCTAATCCAAATGCTGTCCCATTCACGTCAGTGCAAGCGGCGGAGGGGCGGACAGAGGGAGACACAGAGTCCGAAGCAGGCTCCAGGCTCCGAGCTGTCAGCACGGAGCCCGACGTGGGGCTCGAACTCACAGACCGTGAGATCATGACCTGAGCCGAAGTTGGACATTCAACCGACTGAGCCACCCAGGCGCCCCAACATATGGTTTTAAAAAGTATTTTCTCAGTCGCCGCAAACATTCAAGTTATTGGCTGGTCAAAGGCGCAGGGTAGAGACTCACCACATGCTCCCTATCACCGGGCACCCACTCATAATGTTCAGAATCAAGTTGAAAGTTCGGATAGCTGCGTGTTTGTGTGACTAACCACAAAGTCACGGAGCCTAGGATCTGAAACCAGTGCAGCAGGCGACACAGACAATTCCCATAAGGCAACAACTCGGTTAAAAGAAAAAGGCTATTCATATATTGTGAACTGTGCCCAGGAAGCTCGTGCTTCTTCTGCCGTTTTGCACCGTCTGGATTGTCTCCTTTCCCCCGGCGTGATATTGAGGCCTGGGGCTGAAAGATCATTTTAATATTCATTTATGCAAAATAAAATTAAAGAAGGACACCCACTGCCTACCTGCCAGCCTATTCTGAAACTTCTGCTTATTACTTGGCCCCTTTTACCTCTTTGCTTGCCCGGGCGTATCCAATCAGTCTCGCGTTTATTCCTTTGCATTCCTGCTGCCACTGCCTTGCTTCGGACCTTTCTTTCATCCCATCTGGTTCACTCCAAGAGCCCAACTGGTCTCCTGGCTTCCGGGCCTTTTTGCTTCCAAGCAGTCCTGCAGACCACGGCTCTAAGCCTCTTCCTTTCTCACTCAAGAACCTCATCACCCTCGATCAGGAACCTTCTCCTACAAAATGACCTACTTCCTTGTGTTCAAGGAAACTTGGGGAGGGGGTGCATGGCAGGTCACCCCTATTAATAGACACCCTCCCTCCTTGGGCTTTTGTGAGTGAGAGAGAAAAGGATGGCGTTTCAGCTGATGTCCCAGGAACATGCCGTGCAGGGAAAACGGGCTGGGAGTCACTGCCTTAACGGAAGCTGGATCGCATGGGAGAGGTCACACCTGACAATCCACACCGAGTACTGTCATCGGTTGTTGCAGTCTGGCCCCCGAAGCCCCTGACAGGAGAGAAGTACCCTGACCTGCAGTCATAAAACAGGTCTGGTCACCCTGGATCGCTTACCTAGCCTCAGCTGACTCATCTGTACAACAGAGATAAAACCCACTTCCTAGGGGCGCCTGGATGGCTCAGGCGGTTAAGTGCCCGACTTGGGCTCAGGTCATGATCTCATGGTTTGGTTCGTGAGTAACGGTTCGGTTTATGAGTTGGAGCCCCGCATCAGGCTCGCTGCTGTCAGCACAGAACCCCCTTTGGATCCTCTGTCCCCCCCCCTCTCTGCCCCTCCCCCGCTAGCCCGGGCTCTCTCTCTCTCTCTCTCTCTCTCTCAAAAATAAATAAACACTTTCAACAAAAACCCAAGGGGGCCTGGGTGGCTCAGTCAGTTCAGCGTCCAACTTTCGGTGTCAGCTCAGGTCATGATCGCACAGTTCGTGAGTTTGAGCCCCGCAGTCAGGCTCTGCGCTGGCAGTGAGGAACGGGCTTGGGATTCTCTCTCACCCTCTCTCCCTCCGCCCCTCCCCAACTCCCGCTCACGCTCTCTCTCAAAATAAAGAAATAAACTTAAAAAAAAAGATAAAAACAAACAAAAAAAACCCTACTCCCTACTAAAATTCTGAAGATTCGGTATTGGGGTTTAGAAGGCTACTGTTTCATGCTAAGATCTTTGCACACATTCATTCTTATTTAATATGGATGCCAACACTTCAAAACAGATGCTGTCCTCATTTTGCAGATGAGAAACCTGAGATTCAGGAAGAGAGAGTACTCCTGAGTAAGTAGCTGCCTCTGTACAGAAAAGTATTTTGTAAACTTCAGCCTGAAAATGCGTCTTTATTACTATTATTACTATGCCAAGGCAAATACCTTTTGCTAAAATCACATCTTTAAAAACTACCATTAAGCTGTGATTTCCAGCTTAATGGAAACTCAATTGATGTTAAGTTTCCAACCAAGAGCACAAGGAGGTTTACAAATTCATTACATAAAAAATATAATTAGGAAAATAACTTGAATTTGGAGAACGCATCTGAGAAGAAATGTAATTTAGAGAAAATCACTTTCCTAATTTCTTTTCAATTGGGTAAACAAGTCTTTCTGTGACTACAGAATTGCCCGCATCCTCAATATTCTAACTCTAATTGATACAGGGGTTACAACAATTAAAAGCAAATGTTAGCGTGTACTTTCTTATTACTTTCCGTGCAGCATTCCAACTTCTAGGCTTGCTTAATATTATAAGAGAATTAAAATTTTTTTTCCATTTAACATGAGATCATCAGCTATCAGGAAGAAATGAACATTTGACGAGTGCAACGGAAGAACAAAATGGTCTTAATGAAGCCACTGCCCATTACAATTAATAGGTCCTAAAAGGCACATTTTACTTAGCCCGATAAATTTAATGCACAAATTAATATCGTTATACAAAAATGAAACACTCAAATATATATTGTGATACCAAAGAACAAGCTGTCTTGAAAATGCAGTTTTTAACTTTATGCAGCCTATTGGAAATGTCAATGGGCTGACTTGTTTTTCAAGCTTAACATGTTCTGTACACGTGATATTATAAAACACAAGCAGTTGTCAAGGTATGGATGCCGTTTTAGACTCAACATATAGTGTACCTCACAGAATGCATGGTGGATGGGGCTCTGGGACGTTCTGGGTTGGGCTGGAAAGCTCCAGAAAACTATCTTACCTTATAGTACCTATACAGAGCTTAACCACATCATATAAGAGTGTTTCTGTGGAACTTTTGCAGAGATTTCTACTTTTTTTTTTT